AATTTATACTCTAAAAAAAAAAAAAAAAAAAAAAAAAAAAAAAGAAATATGTTCTATTTATAAAGGTTCCGAAGAGATTTGTTAATATTACTATTAAACTTTTAATATAGTATAGATTTCAATAGTATTCTGGCACTCACTGATCAACCACCAAAAAGAACTTTTCATTTGCATTAAAATTTAAAATAACTTTATTTACATCATGCACACTAATATAAAATTCCTCTAAAAAAGTTATATACAGTAAAATAATAAAAGTATATTTGCTTTCAGTCTCTAAAAATGAATCGGATATTTTTGTGCCACATCAACCACCACTTTAGCAGCCTGCAACATGTTCTTTACTTCCTTTTTGTTCCCCATGTGACCTTATATTTTACCGATAACTTAAAAGTCATAAATAAAAAATTTAGATTTATAAATAAGTTTTTTATTAAAAATAAATGTCTAATATTTTTTTTTTATTCAAACATTATAAAAATACTTAAAATAAATTGAACAAAACAGGCTCTTAATCCCACAATAATCGGCTCTGTTCCCCCCCACACCCAATAGCAGCTCTTTAAAACACGAAACTGGTGCAGAATATTTTCAACTAAAATGGAACACGTGCGAGAAACAGCAGCAGACATTATCGTGTAAACACGCGCCGTACGATGCACGTTTGGAATGTTTTTACCAAATTGGTCTTCAACATGTAAATAAAAGCTTCGGTGAAAGCAATATTTTGATGCGCCCACCAATAGCATCAGTCACCACAATTCACATACCAACAAAATCTAACGTTCCTCTGCCCCCATAACGAATAAATATCTACTTTCATCCACGCGCCGCCGCGCTCTTCCCGTCGTTCATGGGTGCTGTAGAACCTGTAAGCACATACAGCTCCATTATTTCATTTCATTTCAATTTTTTGGTGATTAAAAGTGAAATTGAGTTTTTTTTTAATTTTTCTGTCTATTGTTAGGTAGTTGACGAGGAAAATGGAGAAAAGGAGACGAAGATACGAGATGAAGAAGAGAGAGATGTGGAGAAAGGTGATATGGATAGTCAACAAAGGGGATTTCAAGGTCAGCCTCCCCCGCCGCCGCCGCCGGCAGAAATAGGCGGTGAGAATTTTCACATGTCGAGAATGCAAAGATTGAGTGCTACGAATCCTTTGAGGCTTGTGATGAATGCCGGAACTAGAGTTGCTTCTCCTTCTCCTTATAACGCTCCGGCACCTTCTCAACATCGTCAGCACCGTTCTTTTCCTAATCCATTTCACCACCGCCATCCTCCGGCTCCGGTGCCGGCGCCGGCGCCGTCTCAGTACCGCCATTCTCCGGTGCCGGAGCCGGTTCCGGTTCCAGCTCCGTCTCAGCACCACCCTTCTCCGGCTCCTTCTCAGACTCGTTCAACCCCTGCTGTTACCCCTCAAGTATGTTTCTGAGCTTAACATAGAAGGGCGTGTTAGGTACAATGGAAAACATTTTTCTAAAATGAAAATAGTAAGTCATTTTTGAGGTTCAATTATTAAAGAATAATTTTTTTTTCATTTTCAACAAAAGTAGAAAATATAACTTACTTCATTTTTGGGCAAAAATTATTTTTATGTCACAATTATTTTCAACTTTTCAATCAGACAGCAAAACTATTTCTTAGAAAATAATTCATTTTGTTTTTCGAAAAATAAATTCTATCATGGACCGGGGCGGAGCTAGCCAGGCGCAAGGGGTTCGAATATTTCAGCATTTATACATGATTAAAATTATTTTTAATATATAGGTATAGATGTTGAACTCCTTTGGCTTCTTCGTGTGATCTTGGCTCCGTCACTGATCATGGAATATCAAATAGAGCTGATATTCTTTTTCATTTTTGATGTGTATTCAAGTTTTCCCAATATTTGAGTAAAATCTGAAAATATTTCTTCTTGTTTTCCTTTTTTTTTTTACCTGCAGCCTTCAGTAATAACACTGAATTCAAGATCCTACACAAACAAGTTTTCACTTTTTCTGTTCCTTGTACACATGATTGGTGCAATTGGTCTAGTTTGTTTTCTTGTATTCAAAGGGATACAAGGTCTACTAGAAGCAGGGGAAGCACAAAGAAAAGAAAAGAGGCTATTAAAGTTTTTTCTACCACAAGTAGAAGCAGCTTCTTTACTTAGCATAACACTAGCATTTACATGGCAAAAGGCAATGAGAATGTGGCCAACATTCATGGTTCATTTCGTACTTTGGGGTTCGTTTATCTTCACATTAGCAGCTGGAATCCTATTAATTTGCTTCCAAAGACCATCAACTGATGGTGTTGGAGTTGTGTTAGTCATGTTTGCAATTGGAAATGGACTGTATTCTTGTTGGGTGACACCAAGAATTAAGTTTTGTACAAAGATTCTAATCAAATCACTTGAACCTGTACCTAAATTTGGCGATTTGAATCATCCAACTTATCTAACATTAGCTGCTGGATTCTTATGGATGTCAATGTGGATTTTGGCTGTGATTGGGGCTATAAATTTCTATTTCCCACCATTGGTTATCATCGGGTTGGTTTTGAGTATGGCTTGGGTTACTGAGGTGATGAGGAATGTGGTGAATTTGACAGTGAGCAGAGTGATTGGGCTGTATTATCTTAGAGGGATGCAATCTAGTACACAATTTTGTTTCCAGAGGGCATTGTCTGTGAATCTTGGAAGTGCTTGTCTTGGTTCTTTGTTTGTTCCTACAATTGAAGTTCTGAGGGTTGTGGCTCGTGCGTTGAATTTGCTTGAAGGTGAAGATGAGTTCATGTTTTGTTGTGCTCATTGTGGATTGAAAATCATGGATTCTATCTTCAAGCGTGGCAATGGCTGGGCATATGTGCAGGTACTACAAACATTCTTTAGTTTTAGAGATGTTGTCTGGACCTGCTTGTGCGTATCTTGATTATGTTATTAGGTTCCATTAATATGAATAGTTGAGTATCAGATTACTTTGTTCACCAAAACTTAAACGGACATAAAGAAACGACTTGACAATTTGTTGATCCCAACTACAATTTGAATCATGATCTTCCATAATATTCACTCACTCATAACTCTTCAAGTTTTCTTCTTTCTTTCTTTTCAATTTTAATTGAAAAAATGTAATTATAAATATAACTTGTGATAGAAATTGTTGTTATTTGTATTATTGAACTTCTCTTATTTAAATTTAAATTTAAATTTAAAGTTTCTTTTGCATATCAGGACTTGGTTAGGTGTAAAGTATGCTACGATGTGGATGTATCCAAAAATTGAAATGGACTTCTTAATTAGGATGCTCTAGGGATTTCTAAATGATAAGAGTCTGATTAACGTCGATATTGACTGTTATCTTATGAATTAATTTTCCTAAAATAAAAACATTATCCACATCTATATTTAAAAAAGTCTTCATACTATAGCGTATTAGTCATTTTCAATTTATAGCATATTACAGGCGTTTCCAATTTATTAAATGTTACTTTTAATATATAGAGTTAGTAGTTATTATCCTCCCTTCCCTTTAGTGCTAAATGAGATGAGATGTGAATATTCCTCCTTATGCGTTCTCAATTATTTCGACAAATATATACTAATTTTATACAACTTTCACTTTCACTAATTTTTCAACCATATTCAGTTGACGACTTCTTATATAATATACATGGATGATATAACTCGCGCTTATTCGGAATTTTGTCACGTTGGCCCATCACACAATAATTCACTTGTATACGTAGCTGCGCGATGAATATTGACTGAAACAATATACTCATTATTTTGGTAGATTGCTACGTATGGTAAGAGCTTTGTGAAGGCATCTCAAGACACATGGGAGCTATTTGAAAAAAGAGAAATGGAGACAATTGTAGATTCAGACATGACAAGTGCCATTTGCTTCTTGACTGGAGTTTGTAGCGGTTCTATTTGTGTTATTGTGATTGGTGCTTGGACTTTCACTGTTTATCCCAATTTCACAGCCACATTGTCCCTTTTATCTGCCTACGTTGGTTACCTTATGGTTAGTCTTTTCTACTTCACTATTGTTTTATAAATTTGCTATGTTGCTCGAACTCTTCAAAAGTACCATCAGCTGTCAGATCCTTTAAAAATAATGTATTTTTGGTGGGTTGCAGACGAGGATTGCGATGGCTTTGCCTCATGCTTGTGTGAGTAGTTACTACGTTTGTTATGCTGAGAATCCAGATAACAGACTTTTTGACAAGACTATTCAAGAGCGACTCAATTTAATGAAGACAGATCGTGATGTTATTGTGCCAACTCCTAGATCTGTACCTTCTCGATTCGCACGGTAACACCATTTTTTTTTTAACCTACTTACCATCTGAGCAATTCCATTCCAGTAGAATGTATATAAGATTAATTTTTTGTCAAACATAACCATATGTTAGATGATCAATTTATTGTAAGGACCAAAAGGTTCAACTGTGAAATAACTTTCAAGTTGGAGTGCCCACTCAGATTTCCCCAACAAGAAGAGGCCACAATGAGGTGTATTTATGGTCCTGTCCTTTTGTATTTATATAATAATTGATATACTTTGGCATATTGTACTGTCGTGATAAGGACCCACCACTAGTTTATTGTCAACATCTTAGTTTGGTAAACCTAATGTTATTTAATTAAATTACATTTCATTCTTTACGTAATCATGTAAAGTTTGAACTATTTGTTTTCATTTTTTATAATTTTTTTCTTTTACTTGGTTGGTGGAACCATGCAGAGGAGGATATATAATCTACGGAAAATCACCTTCGGTTGTTCTAATTGCATATTTTAATAAAAGTTTTAAATTTTACATATTTTTTGTCAATCAATGATGTGCGTAAGGCCATCTCCAACCCTACACTCTATTTTACTCTTCAAATATAGAGTTCTCTATTTTTTCAGATAATCAACTCCAATTCAATTCTCTATTTTACTCTCTAAAAAAGAATATTTTTCCCTCTCTTCAATATTATATTATTATTTCTATTTCTTTTTTATCTTCTTATTTCATAATATAAATTCTTTATTTCTTTTTTCTAATAATTACTTTATATAATTTTCATGTGATATAAAATTTTATTTTTTCAATTTTTTTATCTAATATAAAATTTTATTTGATTCTAAATTTTTAAATAACATAAATTGCAAGAAAATATTACTTATATAATATACAAATTAATGGATAAATTCAAATAAAAGTGAAATACAGTACATAAACACTCAATTTTTGAAATTATTACGTTGTTCCCATAAATGCTCTATAAATGCATTACGGAGTTCATGAACACTTTTGTCCTTAATTTTTTTATGTCTAGCTAAAAATTGTTCAAATCGGAGATTTTCATCTACCACCATTTCTGTCGTTGGAGTTGGAGCCTCTACGACATCTTGAACTGGTGCATTAAGATCACATTCATCCTCAATTATCATGTTGTGCAGTATAATACATGTAGTCATTATATCATGTAGCACTTCCTTTCTCCAAAATCGTGACGGTCCTGCATAATTGCAAAACTCCGAATGCACGTTCAACATCTTTTCGACATGATTCTTGTTTCATCGAGAATTAATTATTATGTTATGTATTGTATTTTATCTTGTATTTAAATTATTATGTTATGTATTGTATTGTTATCTTGTATTTAAATTATCATATTATGTATTGTATTTTAAAATAAATTTTTTAATCTTATCATTTTAAGTTTGTGTATTCTTTATAGTGAAAATTAATAATAAAATTATATTATATTATCGACGAAAATTAAAAAATATGAAATACTATTAATTCGGGATGATAATAGTTTATATTAAATAATATATTTTTTAAAATATTATATTACATTTAAAAAGAATTATGAATATTAGATATTTAATTAATGACATTATATGTAAAATAATATGTTAATTAAAAA